CTCCCCGGACCACTCCTCTTTAATTTTGAGGTCTGAATTGCAGCCGATTCGTCATTCGTCGATGGTGGACCTCCTGTCGGTGTATCCTTCCCCATCTCTTCAAACATCAAAACAAAAGGATTGGCCTAAATCAAAACAAAATAATCAATAGCTCATATAAAAGCTCAATATATAAAAATGCTCTCAAATTTAATGAAAAGCCAAAATTATGGTGGGGGGTCAGAGGCTGAAGAAGGAGGATGAAATGAGAAACGGAAAAAAGACTATTGAGAGAGTGAGAGTTGACCTAAATTGACGAAACCAATGGAACGACGAGTGAGCGCCAAAGGGTAAGTGTCGGGTTGAGAGCCCCGATGGGTGAGAGCGGGGTTGGGAGCGCCAGAGGGCAACCACAACTAGCGGCGAGCAGGGTTGAGAGCACCGGAGGGTGAGAGGCTAAGAGCGTTGTGGCTCTGGCCTGCATAGTTGAGACTTGAATGTGAAAAGGGCTGAGATTTGAAAACTATGGCAAAAAGAATAGACTTTAAAATGTTAACTTTTAAGTTCAAAATGTAATGTTGTTATTTGTCAATTGGGCAAATGAAAAGTGTGTCTCATATCACATCACGCATGGTATGTATGTCAAAATAAATTGACACGTTATGATATCCAGTGTGCTTCGATTTAAACCGCACCATTCGGACACAAAACCGAACTGCACCGAAATTTTTGTTGTTTTCAAAAACCCACATCGCACCGTAAACCAAACTCTTTAGAAATCAAACCAAATCTAACTGAATACATTGGTTCTGGTTGATTTTTCAGTTTTTCCTCGATTTTGATCACCCTTACTTAAAGAGAATGGAGAAAATTGAAAAAAAAAAATTCAAAGTCGAGACACCTAATGTTTACATTCTCTTTAAGACAAAATTACCTAGTCAAATACAAACTGTTAATGACAAACATCTTCAAAAGACAACAACTTTTGGCTCTATCGGTACTTCAAATATACAAGCCCAATGCTATTGTTTGAAACCCTCAAGACTCAATGAATAAATCAAAGAACACATTATGCTATATTAATCTTTGAAAAATGGTAATGCAAAAGCTCTTAAATTACAAGTCTTATCAATGGATCAAGAATGTGATTATTTTTAGATGTATAGAAACGTGCTTAAACGAGAACAGATGCATTTGGAGCCAAAAGACACCTCATGGTTACTAGGGTTCGCGAGCCTTCATGACCACGACACTCTTCGTGGCCCTCAGGCAAAATTGTTCACGTCCGCAAGCTGGCTTCTCGGGCTATTGTGGGCCGCGAAGAAGCCAGTTGCGCGTCCATGAACCGGAGCTCGTGCACGCTCATCCGAAATCCAAATCATGCTTGATTTTTTTACTAGTCCAGAACAAACCCTCTTCGAGTTATAATATACCTAATACACGAAATTAACACATTTGTCTTTCTAAACACTCGTCAAAACCCAAATGTTTTGAGAATCAATTAATCTTTGAATTACTTGGACTCAATTGTTTCAACTTTACATTTTCTCACATATATGAATTAATTTCTCATTCATTCTGAAATAATTTTAAAAAAATTTTAAGTCTTCCACTTACGAAAAAAATGTAAGTGTAAAAGGTACAAAACCAATTTTCTTACAGAGACTGAAGTTGTTAGGTAATTAACATAAGTACAAAATCTTGCATTTAGTTTATAAATAAAAGTAGCAACAAAGTAGTTCAGTATTTTTTTCAAAAACAAAAAAAGAACTAAAAATTTAATCAAACTAGTTCACAACTCTAAAATAAGTCCAAGTCTTATGCTCAAGCCTCGTAATCCTGAATATAAGAAAAGGAAAGATTATTCATCAACATATTTTTTTACATAAAATTTAATCAAAAGAACATAATAGTATACCTGTGAGTTTTTAAATATATCATCCTTTTTCCATTCTTTCAAAATCTTAGTTTGCATGGCTTCATATGCAACTCTATCTACAAGTGTAAGCTTACTTAAATCTTGGTTCATAATCCGTTTTTGTCGTTTTCTCCTTTGTTCCTTCATCTTCCTTTCCATCTCCTTGTTTAGTGCTTGCCTTTTTAACTGGATATTTTCTTCTTCATTTTGCTTTCTCATCTCCAAAGTGTTTTCATTAATACTAATATTCTTTGCCAAAGTGGACTACAACTTGTTTAATGCATCCACTACACCTTTTTCATCATGCAATTTTCTTTTCTTTTCTTTACTATTTTTTCTTCATGTTGGTCATCCCACACCATCACAGTTATTACCTTCAGGCATTGTGTTATCATCGATGATATTCAACAAAGACTCTTCAGATGTAGGCAACTTGTTTTCATCATCCGCTTTGCTATCTGGTGCCATGTTCTTATCATGTTTTGGCTGCCATTTTGGATTTTTAATCATTATTATTTCCCAGCAATGAATCCATTTGAATTTGCTTCCTTCTATATCCTTGTACATACCCAATGCCTTGTGAATCTACCAAGATAATAAATAAGACATGAAAAATACAACAATAGGTTACAAGAAAATTATTTTATGATGGCAAAATTTATTGTAACATAATTACCAAGTCTTTTGAGTTCGTACCACTCTTAGGATGTCTCTCTAATTTAGAATAATGTCTGCAAAATTGTTTACCGCTGCATGTATTATGGACCAATGACATTGTAAACTATTAGACGATCTAAGATATTTGCATCAAGGCCCCATGTTTTCCTTCCACACTTGATGGATACGAACCCACATAGCAGTAGCTTTTTGATTGTTACCCACAATAGGGTCCAAAGACACATTCAACCATGCGTTCGTCAAAGCTTCTTCTTCTTCTACACTCCAATCATTTTTGGCACTTGCTATTTGGACATTTTTAGCTCTCTTTTTTAATCCTTTTGGTGTCGCTTCATTTTGATTGTTGATGTCCGTGGTGTTACCACATATTTGAGAAGTAGCCATTGCAGTACTAACTGGAATTCGGTTGCTACCCAAAGTAGTATTACCATGAGTCCTGAAATTGGGTATTGGAGTGTAGATAGGAAAATGAACATTGTTAACACCACTTTGATTGATTATCAGGGGATTTCTAACCACTGGCGTGTTTAGCAGGCTCTGAAATGTAGGAGTTACTCCATATTGTAGGTCAACATGAGAGGGATATAATCCATTAGTTGAATTCAAATGGAAACCAAGAGGATGAGATTCTGAGTTCAGATAAACATGTGGATTTGAAATTTGAGAAGCCAAGTCATAGTTACAGTGTTGATCAGAATTTGACACGATATTGGATTCTTGTGGATCGTCCATCTTCACAAACAAGAAGAATTTAAAAATAAGTTGAACAAAACAATAATAATGTAATAACAAAGTAATAACAAAACTTACATGCTAGTATGATATTAAATTAAGAATTAAACATGATTTCAAACATATATCCTATATTTCTTTTCTCGCATGTCTGTCTGTGTAATGTCTCTCTGTATTTGGATATTTTCATTTTATGTTGAGGTTTTACCAGGCTTTATATCTATAATCACATCACCTCAAATTCTCTCTAATCACTATAAAGAGATTTATATCTCTAACCACATCACCTCAGATTCTCTCTACACTAAACAAAATCGATTAAAGTAATAAACAAAACAATTATGAGATTAAAAATTAGCAGGGAATAGCTTTAAGATAATAGGGCAGCATCTAGTAGTTTAGAAGACACGCGAATAATATTTGATTCTAAAGTGAGTACTCTTGCAGTTGTTCATCATACAAATTGTACTAAATTGGATTCTATATCAAAGTCTTTAATCATAAAGAACAAATTATCTATATTGCTGTCAAAAGAACTTCCAGAACACTATTTACTTTGTTAGGTTGTCAAAAA